TCCCCTGTATTTTTACTTTCTTTTACTTTTTTACCCACTATTTATTAACCTTGATGTTTTCACCCCAACACTTTCTTCCTCATATTCAAATCCCACATATGTACCATGTTTCAATTAATTTGTATAATAAGGTTAGTTACATTTTTTCCAGATTTGATTGTGATTAGGTAGCCTAATGTTTCTAAACAAGTCCTTATTTAATCTAATTACAAAATGTGTCCTTGTGTAATAAATTATCTCAAGTCAGCATTAAATGTTGGTGCCAAAAAGACTTAATGTTTTGTCTTCCAAACTGGTAACTACTCTGCTACACTTTACAGTCAAATATGTTGCAAGAATCAAGCTGATTTGGTTAAAGAGAATTTTGAAACTCCAATGAAGTTATTACATTACAAGGAAGATTATAATAAAACAAAAATATACAATTGAAATGGAGGAATATTATTTGAGTAACTCCATAATTTTTCAATATTGGAAATGGAGAGCGACATAACATAGCAACAAGAAAATGACGGTCGCGGGGAAGATAAATGAATTTGGAAAATCAAATTTCCCTGTAAGGTCAGGATTGTTATTTTCTATTGAAATTTATGATTTTTTTTGTTTAGATTTTCAAAAGTTTTGGCAGCTTTGGTCTTTCTCTTGTCAGAAAATGGACTTTTTATGAGAAAAGAAAAAAAAAACTCTCTTTTGTAATTGGTTTTCGTTTAACTTACCTTTTTCTTGCTACTTCTCTTAAAAAGGGTCATTTGGATCGAAAGCCAATGTCTTACAACATTTTTATATACTGTATCAAAATTCATATACGTCGACTTTGCATGCAGAGACGAAAAACTATGGTTTTTTAGGAAAATGGTTTTTTTTTTTTAACTATCTTTGTTGGATTAATTGAGAAATTCGTATACACATGTACCGATTCTGACACAAACCCATGAAACTAACGGCTGGAGAAATTGCAATATTTTGATAAATAAGTTTTCAAACAAGCAAAGTTAATATATTTTTGAGTTATAAGTTTTGATTGCTTATTTTAAACGTAAACGCCCTTAAAATGAAAATTATGTTTTGCACGAATATAATAGATTTGAAATAGATAATTTAGCCCAAAAAAAAAATAGTTTTGAAATAGATAAAAACATAAGTAAGAAATCAAAGCATAGTGTATTTAAAAGTTGAAGTTTCATTTAAATATTTTTTCCTTAAAACTAGTATCAAATATTTTTCAATTGTTTATAGATCATTAAAAAGGGACAAAAGGTGTGTGTGTGGGTGAAGGAGTAAATGTGAAGCATTAAATTCTAAGGACCTCTTTATGTATGTCGTTTTCCTTGTTCATATTCTCTTTTTTTTCTTGGTAGAAGGTATTGCAATTAAATAAGAAAAAAAAACCGATGAAAGTAGACAAGCATTCTTATTAAAATCCTAAACACGTAATTGAGTAGTGTAGTAGGGGTTCTTGAGTATAATGATACTACGA